GCAGGGTCTGTCCCACTGTGTAATTCTGCTGGTCTCAAACTTGTCAGGCCAGCCCCAAACTCAGAGATCCACCTGTCTTTTTTGCACAAATGCTGTTATTAATGGCATGCATGCATCACCACTCCTGGCCCCCAAATTAATTCTTAGAGACTTAATGTCTTGGTATTATGAATCTACATTTTGCTTTCTCTTTTATTTCTACAGATCGTGTTATAAAATTAATATTCACTTTCTAAATTCAAAAGAAATACCGGGGTTGGAGAGATGTCTCAGCGGTTAAGAGGTCTGGCTGCCCTGGATCCCAGCACCCAACATGGTAGCTCACAACGGTCTGTAACTCCAGTTCTAAGGGATCTGACACCCTCACACAGACATACATGCACGAAAAACACCAATGCACATAAAATAATAATAAATAATTAATTAAAAGAAAGAAAGAAGTTCCAACTAAATGTGTCTTTTCAGTACTAGTATGGGCTCTAGAGTATGTTGAGCCTCTTCGCGAATCTCACTTCTGAATTTTCCCCACTCAACTTTCTGATTGCTTACCTTGTACTCCCCATCGCCATGCAAATCTGCCAGAGCTGGAAAACACAAGACGGTCGTAAATCAGAATCCCAAAGGTTTCACCGTTACCTAATCTTGCCATCCTCCTAGAATCTGGGCGTTCCTAGGTCTGGAGACTCACCCAGGCAGGAGGAGAAAGTGTGGATGTTGGCCATGGGGTCGTAGTGAGCGTCCAGCCATTTCGAATTGGCTTCGTTGCTGCGAGGGAAAGGAGAGGATAGTTGGAAAGTGAGTCCCACAGGAAAGGAAGAAAGTTCTGAGTAAAATGATGCCTAAGACTGAGAGCAAGGAGAAAGGCGAATCTGGGATCAATTGCCGCCCGGAGTGATCTGCCGATCACATACACACAGACACTCTTGGCCTTCGGCTTCAGTTACTGATTTATAAAGGGCCTTTCCAGAACTTCCAGCGCTGCCCGAAAGCAAAAGTCCAGGACCCGGCACCAAGGCACCGTCTACTCATCTGAGGGAAAGGAAGCCGTGAGCACCCGGGACTTCACCTCTCAGCTCTCCCGCTGTCGGAATCCGAAGACGACGTAGCAGCCATCTTTCCTGGCGTCGCCTTGGCAACCACCTCCGCCGTAGCGCAACGCCCAATAGTACCCGGACACCCGAAAGTACAGAAACAAACGTTCCGGAATGAAATTGTCCCGGCTGGAACCAAACAAGAAAAGTGCCGGTTTCTTTGCCCGCGTTTTCCCTTGCAGCATTATTTTGATTTATGGTTTCTGCATCAATAACAGGATCCTTGGCTTCGAGGCCTGGGGAGGGGCCCTTGTTGGGGGTTAAGACCTCCAAAATGAACTGCCTCAATTTTTATGGTTAACCCAATTGAAAAGGGTCATGTCCTTTCTGATTGTCATACTGTAGAGGTCCAGGATCCGAGGATTAAAGGGAGGGGTCTCAAGTTGATGCGTGTTCTAGTTCTTAAATTCCGGGAACATTTTAAAGTACAAGAATGCTTGCTGCTCTTGCAGAGGAACCCAGTTCGCTTCTCAGCAACCACTTGACAGCTCACAATTCTGTAAGTCTATAGTTCTAGGGGATCTGATGCCGTCTTCCAGCTTCTGCTGGTACCAACACACAGTGAGAAAATGCACACATAAAAATAAATCTTAAAAAAATGTCACAAAGGAGAGCTGCAGCACTCACACTGTGCCTTTGTGCTTTCCTTTAGATACGATATCAAAATCCTATTGTGGACTGCAAGCCAAAAGCGAGGTACTGTGCCCTCCCCAGGCTCTGAACCCAGACAGGAAGAATCACACACACTGCAAAGATGGTTGTTTGTGGTATTTATTTTTCTGGTTATAAAAGTAATACACGAAGAGCGTTGGATTTGGTGAGGATGCTTTGAGCCCTGGCTCTGTCACATGCCACCTGCAGGATTTAGACCAGTCACTTCTCAGAACTGCCACTTCCCCACATGGGAAACGGGACTAGGCAGCCTGTGGCGCTCCTTCCAAAGATGGCAGTGCAGATCAAGGAACTGAGGAAGTACTTGGTAAACCAGAAAGTGCTGACAAATGGAAGGGTTAGTATCACCACCCTCAGCTGAGGTAGCACCAGAGTCCGAGCTCCTGCCCCTCCCCCGACTCCTAATCACACACACACAGAGCTCTGGGCCACTGACAGCCCTGGTTTGATGGAGTGGGGGAAGGGATCACACAATCTTCTCAAGCCTGGCCAGCTGGGGCCTCCTTGATCTGGTCCCTCCAGAACTGGGCATCTGCAGTGGCGAGCTGGGTAAGGATCTCCTCCAACTCAGGCCCATCTTCTGGAAAACGCTCACAGAAGGATCGGATGAGACCAGCAGCTGAGGCCTCATACTCTACAAGCTGTACTTCTGAGCCTGCGAGGAGATGGAGAGAAAACATCACTACGGAAAGATGTGACGAGGGAAGAGGAGTCATAATAACAGTCATAGGAGCAGGGAGTGCTGCTGACTGAGCTCTGTGGCACAAACTCTTCAACCTTTAGGCTAGTTATCTCATTTAGTCATTAGAATAACCTGTGAGGAAGGCAGAATTACAGAAGCAGACTTAAATGAACTGCTACCAGCTTTCATCCTTCCCTTAAGTCAAGAGTTAAGTCTGGCATGGTAGTACACACCATAGCCCAGCACTCAAGGGGCTGAGGAAAGGAAGATCATTAATTTTAAGGCTAGTCTAGATAATTCTAGTCTCAACAAAACCAACCAAACCCTAGCAATCACTAACAAAAATGACTAATATGGTGTGCTATGTCAGGGAGCTGGAGAGCGAGCGAGCTCAGGGACTGAGTACTTCTTGCTCTTGCAGAGGACCCATGCTCTCAGCGTGGCCTCCAGCACCCACAAGGTGACTCACAACCGCTTAGTCCCAGGGGATCCAATGCCCTCTTGTGGCCCCCAAGGGTACTGTATGCACATGGTGCACATACATACATGCAAGCAAAACACTCGCTACAATCCCAGCATATCGTGAAAGGTTTTCACCCAGTACCTGGGACCTGCAAGTCCTCCACCACCACCATCACCACTGCTACCAACTACCAAAGTGCTGGGGTAGAACCCAGGGCCTATTACATGTTGAGCAAATGCTCTACCATAGGTCATACTCCAACTCACCACTACCTTTGAAAAATCCAACCTGTTCCTCAGGTCTGGTTTAAGCATCACCACTTCCTCCCAAGAACTCTCCTGGATACTCTAAAGATATAGATGGGCTCTTTATCCAAGGGTTCAGAGCACTGTTAGTATCCTTAAAACATTCACTAACATTTCCCTGTGTGATTAACATCTCCGTGTGTTCTCATTCCTAATGCGCTCTGAACCGCTTCAGGGGATGGCTGGATCCCATTCCCTCAGTGGCCTCCCCTGGACTGAATGTATCAAAAGGCAAAGAAAAATGAAGCGGAGAGATAAGAGACTGAAGGGGTTACTTTGTGTTGAGGGGCTGGAGACAGCATGTCTCAGGAAGGTGCCATTTAACAAGGACCTGATCAACAAGAAGAACCAGACAGGACAGATTGGAGGGACATCATGCCAAGCCAAGGGAACAGCATGTACAAAGGCTATCGAGTAGAGTGGTCTTGGTGCACTGGAGAGGTAGAAGGGCACACAGGGTACCAGCATCATGCAGGCAGGATCAGGGATTCTAGAAATGGAAATGTTACTTGAGAAGTGGGGACGGCCGAGGACATCTCTATCCTGAATGCTGTTGATTCAAATTCTCAAAGGCCCTACTTGGCCCGTGCAGTCCCAGCTCATTGCCTGACTTTACCTCCTTGCTAGGACCTTCCAGATCCTCTAGGCCTTGGTCTGGCCCCCACAAGCTCCTATTCTGTTGGCCTTCCTGAGACCTGTTGCTGCTGCCTGACAACCAGTGTCCATGTGTGTGAGAAGGAAAATGCCAAGGTTCTGGGCTTGAGGTCCGTCAGAAAGAACACAGCAAAGAGGAGCCCTCCCTGAACCAAGTGCAACCTCTGATCTCTGGAAAGACCCCAGGTAGCTCCATCAAATGGGTGCAATATCCATTACCTTCCAGGTGAGTGTTGGGCTGAACAATAAGCTTCCGGGATTCCTTGCGCAGCAGTACTGTGTCCCTGAGGGTGAGGAAGCACTCTGGGGGTGCATCAGTGACTGCTGCATACCCCTCGTACAGGGCCCGCCCAGCAACCACATCCCCTGTGGACTTCAGCACCTGTAAGGAGAATTAAGTGCCTAGGATGGGTACTCACCTTGCATCCACAAGACTCTGCCAGGGATCATGGCCAGTTGTACCTAGCTCTGGATAGGATGTACTATGATTTGTCTTCTATAAAATTTCAGTTCTAAAATTTAATGAGCTAGCTGGGTATATGGCATCCAACTACAAACCCAGAACTTGGAAGGTGGGGACAGGAAGATCAAGAGTTCAAGGTCATCCTAGGCAACATAGGGAGTACAGCCTGAGCTATGTAAGACTGTATCTCTCTCTTTTTTTTTTATTATTAATTTATTTATTTTATGTACATTGGTGTTTTGCCTGCATGTATGTTTGTGTGAGGGTGTTGGATCCTCTGGAACTGGAGTTACAGACAGTTGTGGGCTGCCATGTGGTTGCTGGGAATTGAACTCAGGACCTCTGGAAGAGCAGCCAGTGCTCTTAACCGCTGGGCCACCTCTCCAGTCCTTTTTTTTTTTTTTTTTTGCAGCTGAGGACCGAACCTAGGGCCTTGAGCTTGCTAGGTAAGTGCTCTACCACTGAGCTAAATCCCCAACCCATAAGACTGTCTCAAAAACAAACAAACAGGCTGGGCGCGTGGTGGCACATGCCTTTGATCCCAGCACTCGGGAGGCAGAGCCAGGCAGATCTCTGTGAGTTTCGAGGCCAGCCTGGTCTACAGAGGAAGTTCCAGGACAGGCTCCAAAGCTACACAGAGAAACCCTGTCTCGGAAAAACCAAAAAAAAAAAAAAAAAAAAACCAACAAAAAACCAAAAACCAAAACAACAAAACCAAACCAACATCCTAGAATAAATATCCTAGATGGCTATTCCCACCCTGCTTTTTAAAGATAGAATCTCAATATGTAAACCAGGCTCACAACAGAACTGCTTCTGGCTTCTTCAGGTGAGATTAAAGGTATGTGGCAGAATGTCCGACAGCTAATTTTTAGAGGGCTGGTGTATATTAAGAGGTTTGGCTTTGGGGTTGAAGAGATGGCTCAATGGGTAAGAACGAGAAGCATGAGTTCAAATCTCCAGCACCCATGTGAAAAAGCTGGGCAGTGACACATGGCCCGTCATCCCAGGGCTGGGGGGAGGGGAGACAGGAGTGTCCCTGGGTCTTGCAGGCTGCCAGCCTTGCTCCAGGTTCAGTGAGGGACCCTGTTTCAAGAGGACATGGCAAGTGTGATGGAGCAGGACACACACGTGCATATGCCACACACACACCACACTCATATACACACACCCCCCAAATTAATTTAAATGAAAAATAAAGGAAGAGGTGGGGCTGTTAAGAGCATCCGGGCTCCCCCTTTGTGAACAGGATTAAGGCCCACACGAGGCACCCTTCCCTCCCACCAGCATAGGCTCTACTCCTGCACTGGCTTCTCACTGTCTCTCCCCAAGCTCAAGCTTCTGTTATATTAGACATTCTCACTCGCGGACACTGCCCAACTTCCCTTTTAACCTTTGTCTTAGTCAGCTTCAGACAGAGCCCCGTGGCACAGAACTTGCCTAGTGAGCCTGAAGTCCAAGGTTTCATTCTTTTTTTTTTTTTTTTTTTTGGTTTTTCAAGACAGGGTTTCTCTGTGTAGCTTTGTGCCTTTCCTGGAACTCACTTGGTAGTCCAGGCTGGCCTCGAACTCACAGAGATCCGCCTGGCTCTGCCTCCCGAGTGCTGGGATTAAAGGCGTGCGCCACCACCGCCCGGCCCAAGGTTTCATTCTTAATCTTGCCCCCCAACATTTTTTCTACTCCATTTTTTTCTTCTTATCTTCGGTTAGATCTACAATCTGTCCTTCCTATGAGCCTTCCTTTGTTCATCTCATTGGTTAGCTAGTTTATTTCAAGGAAATCTATTTAGTTCTTTATCAAAATGTATTTTTATGCTTACTTGGTGTGTGTGCACACGAAATCTGTGTATGTACAACTGGTGTGTGTGGGGGGGTCTGTCCTCTCCTTCCACCACACGGGCCCTGGAGGGTGACTCACATCACCTCTCTCACTTCTTGGTAATGTATGTTCATCAAGCCAACAAGCCAGACCTGAGAAGCTCAAACTGGAGAGTTAGTAACATGGATGCCAGAGGAGCCAGTGGTAGCAGGAGTGATTCAGGCAGGTACAGTCTCCTGGGAATGGGTCCTAGTACCATTGGTGGATAACAGAATCTGAATGTTCAAGGCCCTAATCCAAAATGGTGTGCTATATATGTATAACTTCCACACATCTTCTGGTACGGTACATTTTAAATCACATTTAGACTTTTTACAAATCTTAAAGATTTCTGTGTATGTGTTTGGTGTATATGCATGTGTGTTTGGTGTGTATGCATGTGTGTTTGGTGTGTATGCATGTGTGTTTGCATGTGTGTTTGGTGTATATGCATGTGTGTTTGGTGTATATGCATGTGTGTTTGGTGTGTGAGAGGAAGCCAGAGAAAGACGTTGTGCAACCTGCTCTCTCTCTTTCCACCCATTCCCTTGAAATGGGGTCTCTCACTAAACTTGGAGCTGGGCTGGCAGCCAGCAAGCCCAGCGGTCCTCCTGTCTCTGCCCCTCACAGTGCTGGGGTTACAGGTTTATGTAACCAGGCCTGGCTTTTCACATAGGTTCTGGGGATCTGAACTTAGGTCCTTACACTTGTGCAGCAAGCCTATTTCCCCTATGAGCCATCTCTTCAGCCCTACTTTTTTTTTTTGAGACAGAGCCTACATAGTGCACCCAGGTTGGCCTCAAACTCACCATGTAGTGAAGGATGACCCTAAATTCCTGATCTTTCAGCCTCTACCCCTGACTGCTGGGATCACAGGTCCGAGTCAACACTTTTATAGTTCTGAGGATGGGACCCAGGGCTTCATGTACACTAGGCAAGCACTCTACCAAAATGCCCTCTAACCCAGCCCATTACAGTACTATCATACCCAAGACAACGGAATGCTATGTATATGTAATTAGTTCTTATTCCATACTGTTTAGGGAATGACAAGAAAAATATTGTAGATGTCCAGTACGTATGAGATGATTCTCCTGAATATTTTTGCATGTGTGTAGTTGGTTGAATTTATGGATGTTATGGATGTGGAACTGGTGGATACAGAAATTGGAGTATAGGAATAACAAGAAGCAGGAAGTCCCCGGGGAAAATGAATAGTCCATGCCATGTCTGAATGTGGGACTACTACTCAGTTCCAGCCAGCTAGTCACATAAGAATGGAGCCCACTGTTGCCAGAGCTCCCAAGAAGTCACAGATAAAGGCACATACCTAACCTTTGTTAACAGCAGTAGGAAAAAAACATGGCTGACATAATACACAGCTGCATCAAAGATGACTTCATACTCTGTTTCTGGACACTCCTGAGGACATTGAACATGATGCTGCAAGAGTCCCCTGTAGAGGACTCAACTGGGTCACTCATGGTGGCAACACCTCTATGCCAGCACTAGGGAGAAAGAAGCAGGTCAGTCTCTGTGAGTTTGAGGGCAGCCTGGTCTACAGAGAGTTGTAGGCCAGCCAGGGCTACATAGTGAGACCCTGCTTAAAAAAAACAAAACAAAACAAAACAAAGGACCTACTGTAGTGATATACTGTGTACCCTACTAAACTTGCCTGGGGGATCAGAGGAGAGAGCCAGCCACTAGATTAAACATAGAGGCCAGACAGTGGTGGCACACACCTTTAATCCTAGTATCCGGAAGCACACACACCTTTAATCCCAGGAAGTGACGGCAGGGCGGAGAAAGATATATAAGGGGTGAGGAAACAGGAACTAAGGCAGTTCAGCTGAGACCCTTTTGCGTGAGGACTCAGAGGCTTTCAGTCTGAGGCAACAGGATTGGCTGAGGAGTTGGCAAGGTGAGGTTGGCTGTGGCTTGCTCTGCTTCTCTGATCTGTCAGCTTTCACCCCAATATCTGGCTCTGAGTATTTCTTTTTATTAAAAGACCATCTAAGATTCAAACAACAACCTACTGCCTCAGCCTCCTTGATTCCTACAGCTAATGCTTTGGGAACAGCTCCTTCTTTTTGCCATTAGCAGCAAAAATCTTCAATTTATTGAAAAGTTTCAAGCCGGTGCAGTGAGCTCCCAGAAGCAGTCAGCACGGTTTTCTCTCCCCAACACCTTCATAACTGCCCGTTACCACTAACTGAATTCCTGCCCTCACCTAGGTCTCCTTAGCTTTGCCAACTATGCCCCTTCTACCCCAGAACCCACCGAAGACACATTTTTAATCCAGTGGCTTTTATCCTTATTTACTTTTTGGTAGTGAAGGGATGAAACCCAGGGTCTCACATATATTTTAAGTATACACTCTACCTCCAGTCCCTAATTTAATTTTATTTTTAACTTTACAAGCATGTGCTTTAGCTGGGTGTGGTGGTGCGCACTTATAATCTCAGCACTTGGGAGGCAGAAGCAGAAGGATGACACAAGTTCAAGGCTAGCCTGGTCTACATAGGGAGTTCTAGGCCACCCAGGGATATACATGTATGACTCGGTCCCAAAAAAATTAAAAATAAATAAATAAATGAAAACGAAAAACAAAAATCAACAGAGCAGGTGGGATAGCCCAGCAGATAAACACAATCGTCATACAAGCCTGATGACCTGAGTTTGATTCCCCAAATCTGCATAAATGCAAAAGAGAATCAACTTCACAAATTATTTTTTACCTCTATACACACACTGTAGCACATGCACAACTCCTCAATATCACACACACACACAAGACAGGGTTTCTCTGTGTAGCCTTGGATATCCTGGAACAACTCATTCTGTAGACCAGGCTGGCCTGAAACTCACAGAGATCTGCCTGCCTCTTCCTCTCTCTCTCTCTCTCTCTCTCTCTCTCTCTCTCTCTCTCTCACACACACACACACACACACACACACACACACACACACACACACACACACACACATTTTTAAAAACAAAAATCACCCCAAACTCCCATGTTTTATGGAAAGACTCTTTAGATCCTTCCTGGAAACAGACAGGCATACAATCACAGATACTTTTATCCTAATTCAAAGAATCATAACTTTATGATTTATAATATATGTAGTGCTGAAAACACTCAGTATGTCCCTGTTCTAGTAGAAAGTACCATACTACAAATATAGGTTTTCCTCAGGGGCTGGAGAGATGGCTCAGTGGTTAAGAGCACTTGGCTGTTCTTCCAGATGTACCTGGGTTCGATTCCCAGCACCCACAGGCTGGCTTACAATTGTTACAGAATATTATTTTAAGGTGTGTTACATTTGTTTATGCTGTGGAACATTTGTTTAATGCTGCAAAGATGTGCTGCATTCTTTTATGTTGCATTTGTTTAACTTTGTAAAGCTGTGTTACTTTGCCTGTCTAGAACATCTGATGGTCTAATAGAGCTAAATGGCCAATAGCGAGGCAGGAGAAAGGATAAGTGGGGCTGGCAGGCAGAGAATAAACAGGAGGAGAAATCTGGGGAGAGAGAGATCTAGGAGTGAGGGAAGGAGGAGGACTCCAGGGCCAGCCATCCAGCTACACAGTGAGCCACAGAGTAAGAAGTAAAGAAAGGGATACAGGGTAAAGATAAAAGCCCAGAGGCAAAAGATAGATGGAATAATTTAGGTTAAGAAAAGCTGGCTAAAAATAAGCCAAGCCAAGCCCAGGCATTTATAAGTAAGAACAAGCCTCCATGTGTTTTATATTTATTTGGGAGCTGGGTGGCGGGCCCCCAAAATAGTCAAAGAGTAAAAAACACCAACTGCTCACAACTGTCTGCAACTCCAGGTCCAGGGAAATCAACACCCTCTTCCGGCTCTACAAGCATCGGCCGTTCCTTTCCAATCTCGCTCACCATCACACCCATACAGCTCTTTGCCATGGCATCTTTTGCATTCATGGATGAATGTCTGCATTCCTTTATGAGCATGTGAGAAACTACTCATCGCTTATTCTCAGTCACTAGAGACGTGCTGGGTGAAGGGACCAGCCAGGAGGTTAAGCGGTACTAACAGAATGAGGGAATGAGGGAGGGCCAGAGAAGAGGCTGGAGGGGGTCAAGGTGAGACTTCCACTTACCTGGAGTCTGCGTAGGAACCGCTCCAAGGCAGGTCTGCCCACTGACCGGATCTTGCTGCGGTCCAAGTGGACACGGGCATCTGGGCGCCCATCAGAGCCTGTGGTAGGAGTGACGGTAACGAGTCCTTCGCCAGCCTCCAGCAAAACCCTCAGGATCACAAACCGGGCCTGCATGTGGGCCTATCAAGGCCAGGGAAAGAGGTCATGTGTAGCCTACTCAGTGCCTGAGGCAAAGCTTGTTAGCGTGTTCGCCATGCTGTCAGCTGTCACCGTCCATTTACTCCCTCCTTCTGCTCCCCTCCCCCAATCCTTCCTTCCTTCTCCCCAGCCTGTTCACTGGGGCAGGCTGTGTAAGCAGGGTCTGGTGCTCTATCTACACCCCTCATCACGTGCCACAGCTCTTGATGCTCCAGACAGCAGCGACTCCTGGGGTCCCCTCACTATCAAGACCCTGAGGACTCTCTTTCCCAATCTCTTTTGTTTTTGTTTTGTTCGAGACGGTTTCCCTGTGTAGCCTTGGCTGTCCTTGATCTGTACACCAGGCTGTCTTTGAACTCACAGAGATCCTCCTGCCTCTGCCTCCCTAATGCTGGGATTAAACCACTATCGGCCGGCTCCTTCCTAGTCTTCTTCATGTTCAGCAATGGAACCAAGCAGGCATCATTATCCCCTCTTTTACATATGACAAAACACTGAGGCCCAGAAGTGAAGAAGTGACTGGCCAAAGTCACACAGTGGCTGAAGGGACAGTCAGGGTCAGACCTCAGTCCAGACTCTAAAATGTATTTCCTTTTATCTGTGTATGTATGCACACACACATGATTTTCTTTGTCTTTCTCTCTTTAGTTTTTCAAAAACTTGTTTGATTTTTATTTTACATACATAGGTGTTCTGCTTACATGTATGTGTACCACATATATGCAGTGTCTGTGGAATCCAGGAAAAAGGTTGGATTCCTTGGAACTGGAGTTATAGGCAATTCTTAGCTGTCAAGTGAGTGCTGGGAATTGAACCTGGGCCCTCTGAAAGAGCAGCCAGTGCCCTTAATCACCGAGCCCTCTCTCCAGCTCTCTTTTCTCTTTTGTGATGGCGTCTTGCTATGTTGCCCAGGCTTCTCAGGAACTTCTGAGTTCAGGTAAAACTCCTGTCTCCGATTCCCCCAGTAGCTGCAAGGTCTTATAGTGCAGACCCTTTGATGACATGTACTGCCTCCTCAAACTGTATTTACTTGATTTTGCTTAAAAAAAAAAGGGGGGGGGGCAGCAAACTGGCTTGATGAGTACGCACTTGCCGTACGGGCCTGACAGCTTGATGAGTATGCACTTGCTGTATGGGCCTGACAACTTGAGTTTGACTCCCAGGACTCATAAACTGGAAGGAGAGAACTAACTCTACACACACAAATAATAAATTAAAAAAAAAATTAAATCACTGTTGATTACCATAGTTTCAAACTACATGTTGGTCAGGTGTAGTGGCACATGCTTTTAATCCCAGCACTCTGGAGGCAGAGGCAGGTGGATCTCTGAGTTCAAGGCCAGTCTGCCCTACAGAGAGAGTTCCAGGACAGCCAGGGCTACACAGGGAAACCCTGTCTTGAAAAACACAAAACAACCAAACAACAACAACAACAAAAAAACAAACCAAAAAACAAAACAACCTCCCCCCCAAATGGCTAAGAAGGAAGTGCATGAATTTGGACCCTGACTTTTTTTCTAGCAGAAATGCAATGGGTGGGGTTGTCCCACCAACAGTAGAGTCTGGGGTTGGAGTTTCTGCCTTAGGAAGTGCACCTGTCCCATCCCTGCCCCCAGAATCCTCACAGTGGCCACGTGCAAGCTCCCTCTCTATCCTGAAGGTGGCTCCTCCCATCTCACCTGTCGCCAGTTGGCCGCCTCTGGAGTGTAGAACTCCAAAGCCAACAGCCCAGCCCGAACCATGTTGAGCCAGTTTACGTAGATGACATCTTCTGCATCAGCTCCCTCAAAGCCAAAGATCCTGGTGGAGGGGAGACAGGGATGATCCAATTAGCCCTACGCTCCAGCACCCTCAGAGCTGCCCAGTGTAGGGACTCGGCCACCACCCCTCCAGCCCACTGTTCCTACTCCAGCACTTGGGGGTTGAGGCAGAGGTAGAGGCCCACACTCTCGGCCCGGCACTCTTCGTAGCTGGAGGCAATGGTGCTGAATTTGCTATCCCATGTCTCTCCACTCCGGTACCAGCTCTGAATCTAGAAGGATGACCCAGGACCCAGGAATCAGGCCCCCGCCTGTGTCCCCCATCCCAGCAGCCTGGCTCCATGGATGCTCTGCTCACCTGCTCCCCAGTCTCTGGGTTGGTCACTGTATCCTGGTCAAAGTTGAATGCACCTTTCTCATCCTGTAGAAGAAGGGTCATGAATGTTGGGGTAGGCTAGGGGACAGTGTCCCTGGGCAGAATCTAAGTGGCTCAGAAAGACAAGGAAAGGGATCAGTCAGGCAGGAACCATGAGTACACCGTTACACTAATGCCTGCAACCCTCAGAGCTCTGTGATGCCAACCACCTCCTCAGATCCCTCAGCAGAAGAGGAACCACCCACTCACTTCACTGTACAGAGAGGGAAATGGGTCCAGACAAGGGAGGGACCACCTGAAATTTTGAACCCAGACTACCTGGACTGTGTGGGAGAACCCCGATGGGCAGGCCAAAGAGCTTGCCTCTCTCCATGTGTCATGGCCCCAACACTCATGCTGCCAGCATGACCCCCCCACACACACCCCACACGCCCGCCACATGCCAGGAATCTTTCATGTATCACACATTCATTCCTCACAGCCACCGCCTGGAGAAAGGCTCCACCCTCACCACATCACAGGTGGGAAAACTGAGGCTCAGAGACCAAGAGCCCCCAAACGGAATCGGGCTGCATAACCTGCCTCCTAACACTCACACATGTTTGCTAAAACCCTACTGTGCAGGGCTTACGCCTCACCTCCTCTTTTATCTTCACAATAGTTCATGTGATGGTGTCAGAAATTCCATTGTACAGATGGGTCTACTGAGGCCCGGCCAGAAGAAAAGTATTTAAGACCATGGCCTGAATAGAGACTGGATGAGACACCATGCTGGGCTGCTATCTCTTCAGCTGCTTCCCAGATTCTCTTGACTTACCAGGTCCAGGTCCAGCCCTCCCTCAACTAGAGAGGCAGTCCCAGCCATGGGAGCAGGCCCAACCCAGAACACCATTCTCGCTGGTAGTCCTTAACCTCCTCGGGATAGTTCAGCTATGTGGCTCCACACTGCGAGCCCACGAGCTTCCTTAGCCTGCTGGGAAGACTGTCAGCCCTTTCCATGTTCCCCAAGTGAAAGCCAAGGGCTCTAGGCACTGTGACCAGTAGGGAAAGGAAAGTGCTCCGGGGAGACAGTCCCTTAAGTAGAAAACACTTGGCTTGAGCCCCCTCCCCCGAATTGCTCCAGGAGCCCAGATGACTGAATAGGTAAAGAGGGCTCTCTTTAGTGGTGGGTGACTGCTGACCAAGAGGGACTGCTGGGCTCCGGCCGGGGAAGCTCCCCTTAAAGGTATGACTCAGGTGGCCCCCAGACAGAGACGGGGGGGGGGGGGGGGGGGGGGGGGCAGTCTCTGCCGCTGCCTTGCCAAGGCTGTGACACGTCTCTGCGCCTGAATCCTGTACTTTTCCAGATCCTGAAGGGAGCTGTACTGCCCTGGAAATGAACAGCTTCCCTGTGCGTGCAACAGGTCAAAAGGTCCCTGCTGGCCCTTCTTACCTGCACGAAGAGCTTGCCGCTGCCATGGCCCAACAGCTCGTGTAACCCCACCTGTACGTCAAAGGACGGCCCCTTCCAGCGGATATACAGGT